TCAGATGCTAGAGGTGCAAGTCGTACCCCTTTCAGAAACAGGAACCAGTACTTGGCTTGTTGCATGAATTAAGTTGGTTGAGTGCAAGGTTGGATCTCCCTTCACCAACCTAGTGAACTCCTGGCCTTCCAGATGGAGACATTATTCTATCTACCCCCCCCAAATAGGTGTGATTAGTTGTGGAAATGGTTGAATGTCTTCCTCTCCTACCAGTGGGGGTGGGGATCGGCCTGTCTTGTGAAGAATCCCCAACGTCTGGTGCATGATAGGTGCTCATGCAGTGTTAGGGAGTGGATGTTACTAGGGATACTGTTGCCTGGTTTCAAAGAATTTAGAGGAAACCATGATAACTATTTTATAGGTAAGTTAATTTAAAACTAAATCGCAGCTTTGACTTACAACATTGATTAGATTTTCTTAATTTTTCATTCTGTACTGCAGGAATCATAGCTTTCATTTGTTTTGTGTGTGTGTGAGGAGATCAGCCCTGTGCTAACGTCTGCCAATCCTCTTTTTTTGCTGAGGAAGACTGGCCCTGGCTTAACATCCGTGCCCATCTTCCTCCACCTTCTATGGGATGCTGCCGCAGCATGGCTTGCCAGAGCAATGTGTTGGTGCGTGCCGGGATCCGAACCGGCGAACCCCGGGCCGCAGCAATGGAGCGTGCGCACTTAATCGCTTGAGCCACTGGGCTGGCCCTTTTCATTTGCTCTTAAATGGTGTATAAGGAGATTGCGTCCTTCTGTAATTCTGAAACTAGTAAGGCCATGGAAAATACAGTACCTTTTTCAAGGGTTGCTGTGAGGCCTAAGTGAGATAGTGAATCTAAAAGATGAGCATGGTTAATAGGATGCTTCTGTTAAGTCCTTCCTCTCTACCTCTTTGAAATTAACTGGTTTTGTATTTGTTAGTTTAATTAAACATCATAACCTCTGTAGTGAACTTAAAACAATTTTGTCAGAGCAGTTGCAGGTACTTAATGAGCACTGTGATAAGAAGACTCTTGGCATCCTGATGCCCTGCTTTTCACTGGGAAAGGTTATTCCTAGAGATAGATGAGTACTGAGGTTTTTGCTGATTACCTGGAGAGCCAGCAGTTGCAGCAAGCTCTTCCTCTGGTGAGAGAACTAAAGTGTAGAGGTGGTCTTTTGTTAAGGATGTGGTATGGGAGATAATACTTGGAAATTGGAAGAAAGTTGGGGGTGGTGGCTGAGTGTGGGGAGGGGATTCCTGAAAAGATGTGATTAAAGAAGTGGTAAGCAAGGTTAATTGGCCAGGGAAGGGTGAAGAATGGAGTGGAAGTTGACCCAAGCAGAAGAGGGCGTTTTGTAGAGGTAATACAGATCCTGCAAGATTATTCTATGCCGTGATCTCTTCCTCATTGTTTTGTTTCCACTTACAGGCTTTGCTATGAGTATTCTTTAAGGCTGGCTGGTCTTCTGCCCTTTCTCTAAATCAGTGTAGTAACTGCCATCTGTGGATTATTTGGAAACATGGGAGGAGGGGCTTGGTGTTGGTCACAATGACTGGAACATCATACCTGCTGGCCTTGTTTATAAGGAATTCGTGTCCTGCCAAAGTGCCAGTGCCCCCATGAGTAACAGTGCTCTAAATACTCCAAGAGTAATATTAAGTTGGTATCAACTCTACTGTTATATGTTCCAGACCCTTGGACTATGAAGATGAGAAAGTGATGGTTCCCTGTAGTGCACTCTTCTGGATGGAGAGAACAGGAGTGTTCTTGGGGCAGAGAACAGTGGATCTGGGGATCTAACTTAGGAAATTGTCCAGCCAATCTCTGGAGTCAGTAAACAGGACTTTCAAAATCTTAGTTTGACAGCAACTTTTAAAACAGTTGCTGGTGGAAAATTTGAAACATTCAAGAGTAGAGGGGGGCCGGCTCCGTGGCTTAGTGGTTAAGTGCGTGCGCTCCGCTGCTGGCGGCCCGGGTTCGGATCCTGGGCGCGCACCAATGCACTGCTTCTCCGGCCATGCTGAGGCCGCGTCCCACATACAGCAACTACAAGGATGTGCAGCTATGACATACAACCACGGACTGGGGCTTTGAGGGGGGAAATAAATAAAATTTAAAAAAAAAAAAAAAAGAGTAGAGGGAAGAGAATTATTGGCGCCATGGATGTATCATCTAGCTAAAAATTAGAAATCTTGTTTCATCTACACCCTTCCCCATCCACTCGTTTTAAAGGATGTATTTCTGACATAGTATTACTTTTGTAAATATTTAAATTTGAGGGAGACTTAGACCCTAATCTCTTCTGAATCTACCTCCTGATAATTTGATTTCCTAGGTCACATTCTTATTTCTAGGAAGTACCATCTGTTTTAGTTTACTGGGGCTCTTAGAACAAGTTACCGTAGACTTGTTAGCTTAAAACAACAGAAACTTGTTCTCTCAGTGCTGGAGGCCACACATCGCAAGTCAAGGTGTGAGCAGGGCCATGCTGCTCTGAAGGCTCGAGGAATCCATCTCACCTCTTCTCTGGCGGCTGCCAGCACTCCTTGGTGTCCTTGTCTTGGAGCTGCATCACTCCAGTCTCTTGCCTCTGTTACCACGTGGCCTTCTCTTTGTGTCTTGTGTGTCCTCTCGTTTTATTGTAAGGACACTGGATTTAGGGTACACTCTAATCCAGTACGACCTCATTTTAACTAATTATATTTGTAAAGATTCTATTTCCAAACAAGTTCACATTCTGAGTTTCCGGGTGGACATATATAGGGGGGTAGGGACACTTAAACCCAGCACACCATCCTTCACTGTCCAAATCTCTTTGGTTCATGAGTTCGGTGGCAAAGAGTAACAGTGCTGGTGTCGATACGATGCCACTAGTGTAAGCATTAGTTTCCTTTGAGTTTGATTTGGGCAGTTAGCTCCCAAGGGCCTGGTCATCTCCAGGCACTAACAAAATCGTTTGTGATCTTGGAAAACTTGGGTCCTGGGGATGTGGTGATCTGACCAAAGAATCATGAGGCTTAAAGACCCTGAGCCATTGACAATCCTACCCCTTGCTCAACCCTGTTAAAAGGGTTGCTGCTTTGATGCTGCATCAGCTTCGAGAGCCAGGCCCTTTGTCCTCCAGCAGGAAATTGAAAGGTACCCCTCTTCTGTGCTGCTGCAGTGTCTAGCAGCTAGCATTTATTGACAACTGCGTATGCTGGGCATTGTGAAAAAAAGAAAAGATTCTGCTTTCAAGGGGCTATCAGCTATCTGTTCATGGTCCAGCCCTGCCCCTGAACAAAACTTTTTCTCCTTTCTGTGTAATGGTTAGGCTTCATATCTGGAAAAGTGGGCGGGGCAGGGGCAATCCGGAAAGTATAAAGCACTAGGTTATTGCAGGCCCTACCTTTCTATGCTTTTGATTGGAGTAGGGGCTATAAAGGAAATCAGAAAAATCAGACTCAAACCCAATTCCAAAACCTCTCCTCAGGGCGTGGGGCGAAGATATGCTCACGTGGTGTTGAGGAAAGCAGACATCGACCTCACCAAGAGGGCAGGAGAGCTCACTGAGGATGAGGTGAGACAAGGAAGGGGGTGTGGGTTGGGCCTACCTCGGAAGGGGGGCATCTGGATCTGACCCTTCTCTTGCCTGCCAGGTGGAACGTGTGATCACCATTATGCAGAATCCACGCCAGTACAAGATCCCAGACTGGTTCTTGAACAGACAGAAGGATGTGAAGGATGGAAAATACAGCCAGGTGTGTATTGAGATGGGAGACGTTAGAGAAATGGAAGGCGGGGTGTCCAGCTGGAATTGGGCGGTCATAGGAGGTCAGGGGGTAAAACACATCTCTCACTTTCTCTTCCAAATCCAGGTCCTGGCCAATGGTCTGGACAATAAGCTCCGTGAAGACCTGGAGCGACTGAAGAAGATTCGGGCCCACAGAGGGCTGCGCCACTTCTGGGGGTGAGTAGGGGTGGGGAGTCTCATCCTGCCTGCCCGCCCCTAAGACTCAGAGATTTCTCTGGCTCCATTTTCTCTCCCCACCTTTTCTTTGTGTTGTATATGACCTGTGACCCTTTTCTTTTCTCACCTGCAGACTTCGTGTCCGAGGCCAGCACACCAAGACCACAGGCCGCCGTGGCCGCACTGTGGGTGTGTCCAAGAAGAAATAAATCTGTAGGCTTTGTCTGTTAATAAATAGTTTATACACCTATGGCTTCCTTCTTTGTGGTTCTCTCCATTCTTCTGGGGACAGTGATGGGGAATGCTATCACTCTGGGCCCTGTTCATCTTTCCCCTCTCTCCGCTGATGTTCCCCCTCAGCTGCCCAATCAGTGTCTTTGCTCTTGGTTAAAGCAGTAGTGTTGCCACGCCCCACCCTGCCAGAAGCAGCCCTTCACCTAGTGGTGCCCCACCCTCTGAGGTATGAGGAAGATGGAGCAGGTTGCACGGTTTCAAGATGACCAAATCCCCTGGGCTTGGTGCGGCAGAGTGGTGTGTGGGTGGCTGAGCCTAGCCAGTAGACGCTGGTGTATTTGCAAGTCTTGGCTACCCTAGGTCTCTAAAAGATGGGGGCCTGTGCCTAGTCCGGAGGTTCGAAAGTTGGGGCGATGCTGGTACAGATCAAGTCCTCTAACTGAGCGCTGATTCTGTGACCCGGAAGAGCTGGGCTCCGCAGCCGGGAGATGGAACACGTGCGTGGTTGGCGAGGGCCCTGCCTGTCTGGATGCACAGCGTTGGTGGTCGCCCGCTGCCGCCAAGGCGTACTGGTCCAATTCTCTCCCTGCCGCCCGTCCTGGGAAAAGAGCCGACTGCCACGCCGCGCTACTTCCGCCGCTCCGCGCTGCTGCGAAGTTTCCGGCGGGATGCAGTGGACGCGCGGCGCCACCCTCTCGCCGAGAAAGGGGCGGGGCCCAGCCGGCGCCGCCGGAGGGGAGAGCGCGGCTGGTGCGGCAGCGATCAGCCAGCCTTGGAGCCGAGCTTTCGGGCGGCCGCGGCGACAAGGTAACCTCCCCGCAGCTCCACCCGTGCTCCCCGGCCGCGCCGCCTCCCGCGTCTCGGCACCTTCCGGCGCTGGGACCGGGCGCGCGTTCCGCCCGCCGCATCCCAGGCGGGGCCGGTTAGCGACCCAGGCCGCAGAGAGCTGGGCTCTCCGCCCTCTAACTGCCCTCCATCTTTCCCTCCAGGTCCGCTCTGACTGCACCACACCATGCCCCTCAGCCTCTTCCGGCGCCTTCTCCTTGCCGCCCTGCTGCTGGTGATTGTCTGGACCCTCTTTGGGCCCTCGGGCATCGGGGAGGAGCTGCTGAGCCTCTCGCTCGCCTCCCTGCTCCCAGCCCCGGCTTCCCCCGGACCGCCCCTGGCCTTGCCCCGCCTCTTAATCCCCAACGAGGAGGCGTGCGGTGGGCCCGGCGTCCCTCCCTTCCTGCTAATCCTGGTCTGCACGGCCCCGGAGAACCTGAACCAAAGAAACGCCATTCGGGCCTCGTGGGGCGGGCTGCGCGAGGCCCGAGGGCTCAGGGTTCGGACTCTCTTTCTGCTGGGAGAGCCGAGCTGGCGGCATTCCGCCGGGGGCTCCCACGAGAACAACCTGGCACTGGAGTCAGCGGCCCATGGGGACATCTTGCAGGCGGCCTTCCAGGACTCCTACCGAAACCTTACCCTCAAGACCCTCAGCGGGCTGAACTGGGCTGACAAACACTGCCCCATGGCCCGCTACATCCTCAAGACCGACGATGATGTGTTTGTCAACGTCCCCGAACTGGTATCAGAGCTGGTCCGCCGAGGGGGCCGTTGGGAACAATGGGAGATGGGCGTGGAGCCCCAGAAAGGCACTGAGGTCGGACATGAAGAGTGGGAAGGAGGCGGCCCCACCCTGGGGAGCCAGCCAGTGCCTCTTTTGTACCTGGGACGTGTGCACTGGTGGGTGCACCCCTCTCGGACCCCAGGGGGCAAGCACCGGATATCAGACGAGCAGTGGCCTCCCACATGGGGCCCCTTTCCACCCTATGCCTCCGGCACAGGGTATGTGTTGTCAGCTTCCGCTGTGCAGCTCATCCTGAAGGTGGCCAGTCGGGCACCCCCTCTGCCACTGGAGGATGTCTTTGTGGGGGTAAGTGCCCGAAGAGGAGGCCTCACTCCAACCCACTGTGTCAAGCTGGCTGGTGCCACCCACTACCCCCTGGACCGGTGCTGCTATGGGAAGTTCCTGCTGACATCCCACAGGTTGGACCCCTGGAAGATGCAAGCAGCCTGGACGCTGGTGGGCGGCTCTGATGGGGAAAGGACTGCACCCTTCTGCTCCTGGCTCCAGGGAGTCCTGGGCCTCCTGCGGTGTCGGGTGATAGCCTGGCTTCACAGCTGAGAGTGCCAGGGACCACAGGAGAGGAGTGCGGAGCTGGGGGTTCAGCCACCACCCCTACGACCTTCTCTCTCCCAGGCCCAAGGCAGGGGCCCTGGGTGGCTGCAGCTGATCAGTTTCCCCATAGCAGATCGTCAGTCTGTCACTGAAGACTGAGGGATACAGGAAAAACCTAGAGGCCTGGCCTGCCGGCCCCAAAGATGGTCATCAGGAAGAAAGAGCAAAACAATGCTGGGGTGGCACGAGCCCCTCAATAAACTTGTCTCTCTATCTCTTCGAGTGCAGTGTGGTCCTCCCCAGGAGTCCCTGAACACAAACCTGGGAGCCTAGAGACTGCCAAACCCTGCTGGATGGGAAGGACATCTCCAGGGACATGGGACAAGAGAGAGGACAGCCTCTCTGAGGAGGAAGGTCCCTAAAGAGCAAGGCTAAGGCCACAGCGACTACAAGATATGGGGCGGGGGTAGAGGCAAGCCACCATAACCCTCAGATCCTAGAGGAGCCCCCTGCTGGGGGGGGGGGGGGAAAACCCCCAAAACCCCCCGATCCGAGAGGGGCCCCCCCGTGGGGGGGGGGGGGGACAGATCCACAGGACGATCCAGACACATTATCCAAAAAAAACACCTTCTTTAATACCAACCCACCCCAGGAGCCAGCTGTCCACCCCCAGTTGGGGAAGGGGCACACTACCCCCTCCTCACTCCAGGGAACAGGGTCATTTCCCCACAGGCGATCTTGGGGAGAGACTGTTGATCCCAGCCACCCTGCAGCCTGGCTCAGCGCACAAATCTGTCCAGGGCAGATGGCCGGGACCCCAGGGGCATGGCTTTCTTCTCTTGCCTCTGTGGCTGCTGCTCAAGGCTCTGCCGGACTTTTTCCTGTGGGGGGAGACCGGGGCAAGGTGAGAAGTGGCAGGCTGGCAAGACCAGAGGCACAGGCAGGAGGGTGCAGCCCATGGGAGGCCTGCCCACCCCCCAGTGCTCATTTACCCGGTGTTCCTCATCCATGACCTTCCTCTTCCTCTTCACCAGGCTCGCTGTCGAGCTTCGGCCCTTCTGTTTTGGCTTTGGCTGGAAGGGAGCCTTGGCCTCGGGGTCATAGCCCTGAGGGAGAGGACAGGAGTGAAATCTCTAACAGCCTTAGAGGCAGAGAACTGTGACAGCACCCACCTGCTGCGCCGCACTTCTGGGGACATGGTAGGGAGAGGATGTGGGGGTGAGGAGGGCCTGAGCACTCAGGGGCCTGTTCCGTACCAGCCTCTCTATCCGCTCCTTCTTTTCCTGCTCCAAAGAGATGACATCAACCTCTGCCAGGGCCCGTGGATCCAGACAAATGAGCTCTGCAGGTACCTGGAGGTGTCAGAGAAGGAGAGGAATGGGTAAGGAGCTGCAGGAGGGTGACCCCAAAGAGGGAAAGAATTCAGGGAGGCTGTTGAGTCCCACTCTTCCCAAGACCCCCAGCACAGGGAGCTGTCCCTACTTCCCAGTCCCAGACCGCATGCGGCACATCCTCACCTTCTCCAGGAGGGCCTTCACCTCCCATTCCTGGCGCTGCTTCCGGCTCCTGTATGGGTTACTCTCCAGGCCATCAAAGTTGGGCTCAGCAGCCCCTGGAGAGAGGGAGGAGCAGGCCGCCATAAATAGGAAACCAGTCCAGCAACTCCCGCCGACCAAGCCCTTTGCTCTTGGCTGTCTCGGGCTCACTCAAACTGCCACCCAGAGTTCATTCACTTTGAGCCCCACCCCCTGGCTCACTCACCAGGGACCAGCATGCTGGTGATGCCCCCATTGTGCCCCACCCCCAGCACATCTTCAAAGGGGCAGAACTGAAGGCTGTTCACAGGGCCTGAGAGCCGGTGGGTGAGGTAGGGCTGCTCCAGGGAGGGTGGGCTGGCCTTGCCCGGCCCTGCCCATATGTTAACCACGTCACTCATTCCTGCAGCCAGAAGTCCCCGCTGGGAGAAGGCCAGGTGCCCCGCTCCCTGGGGCAGGGTCCGAGCGCTCAGAGGCTGGAACGTCCCTCGCAAGTCAAAGATCTTCAGCTGGTGGTCCAGGCCAGAGGTGGCCATATGCCTTGGGGGAGAGGGGAAATTAGTTAATCCATAGCATGGGCTTGCTAAGTCCAGGCATCAAGTCTGGTTAGGGAGAAAAAGAGTAATAATGCTAGTAACCACTACCATCACAACAAACATTCCACAGGCATCTTCTTGGTTAAGCATCACACAGCTCGGTACTATTTTTATTTCTCTTTTACAGATAAGGAATCTGAAGCTCAGAGAAAGGAATTCAGGGTGAATGGCAGAGCTAGAATTCAAGTCAGGCCTGTTTCTCTAGTGTCTGTCCTCTTACCTACTGAAGACATGTGAACCAAAGGGAGAACGGACGGAACAATCTGTATCTAACTGTACTGCTCCACCGCTCGCACAGGCAGCAGAGCAGCTCGGCGAAGGGAAGGACAGACTGCAGGGGGCAGGGAGCACTTCGTGGGAAAATTGGGATTCTCAAGAAAGCACAAGAAACAGAGACACAGCAGGTACAAATGACTTAACATCAGAGTGTGGACATAGTGAGACAGAGGCAGAGGTTTGTTTTCAGGATTGGTGGGAAATATGGTCAGGAGGACCAGGAGGGGACAAATTGCAGGGGCTCTTGAAAGTCAGACTGAGGACTCGGTCCCCAACACTGCTCTCCAGCACGACAAGACACAAGTTGAAGACCCATGGACCTGAGAAAACCTCCTTAGGAGTTAATGATGTCATGTGCTAGAGGGCCCTGCCCCGCCCCCTCTTTCCCTGGAAGGAGGGAGGGCAAGGCTGGTGACCAAATCCTCCAAGGAATCCTGCACCGCAGAAGCTGTTTGCCTTCAGAGGTTGGAATTTCTATCTATGTTCAAGTTCTTCCTCAGAGACGGAGGCTGAAGGGGACCAGCCAGGCCGGGGGACGTATGTTTGCCAAGGGTCAAGGACTCTCTTTCTAGCCTTGGCTGTGAACCCAGGAGGAGGGGACTGAAGTGTTCCTATGAGCAGAGACTTGCCCTGTGATGGGGCCGAATAGAGGCCCAGTTGGATACTTCTCCTGACAAGACAATGAGGGCCCCAGCTCCACCAGAAGGAAAGGCTATAAGCGCAAACCAGGAATTACTGAGGGCTCCTGGGACACAGGGTCACACCCTTCAGTGAACCAACAACTCAGGGGCACATGCTGGCTCCTCACCCCATACCCACCCACCTTACACACAGGGATCCCCTGTGCAGATACCAGCCCGTTGGCCAGATGGGCATTCAGGCCACACTATCATGCTACCAAACTTGCAAGAAACAGTTCGGCTTTGGGAACCCAATCCAATCCTAATGCAAGCTCCCAGAACACCTCTTGAGGAAGACAGTAAGCCTCATCTCTGGAGTCTCTGTGGCTTGTCTAAGGCGCCTCTGAGGAGAACCAGAGATAAGCAGGGGTGTGCCTAAGATCAAGGCCCAGAGCTGTTCAGCATCAATCGTTGACCAAACCTCAGTGAACTAACTGATTAAGCCCTGGGCACAGGAGCAGCTGACCCAGGCGGCCCAGGGAAGGCCAACTACTTAGGTCCAGTGGCCCACAGAAGGCAGAAAGCCTTGGGACAGGCCTCCCCACTCTCCCAGAGCCAGGCTGCCACAGATATGGAGTAAAAGGGCGGAACCAAACCACTTGTCCACCAAGACACAACTGTGGGAGGCCAAGGGGGTCTGAGCAGCTGGAAGGCTTTCACAAGTTGGTGGCCACTGGGCTTTTCCTTTTCTTGTTTTTCTTTAAAAACAACTTAAAAATAAAGTTATGTAGTTTATACCTAATGTAGAAGATGCCTGGGCAGCAGTGTAAAAGGAAAGCAGCTTGTGGGAAAGATTATTCTGACAACACACCCGGGGCACGCCAGGAGGAGGAAGAACTGGAGGCTGGAAACCGGCTGTGAGCATCACGCATGTCCGCAGAAACGGCAAGGATGGAGAGAACAGACTTGGAGGACCCTCGAGGGGAAAAGCAGTCAGGATGTCACGGGGGGTAGTGAGTGGTCATGAAGTGATACCACCCAAGCAAGTAGCAGAGCCTGGGCACCCAGAATGCACTCAGTGAATGGTGCTTTGGATTCCTGCTATTACTGATGGCTGAAGAACACGGGCTGTGAGGCTAGAAGTGGCAAAGAAGTCATATTGTGGGTGACAGGAAAATGTGGCAGAAAGGGGGCAGGCAAGGAGGAACTTTGGGAGAGAGGTGACCTATCCATTGATGGACGCATGCAGTCTGGGGTGACAGAAGACAACTGAGTAGAACCTAAGTGCGTGACCTGGATAATCATTCCTGTACCACAGCCACCTGTTTTTGTAAATAAAGTGTATGGAACAACACACTGGGGCAGGCTTAATGGCCGATTCATCCTTATACCCCCAGAACCTCAGTGTAGAGCCCAGCCCACACCAGGTGCCTGGTGAATGCCTGACAGATGAAAGGAATTAGAGGAAAACACACGGGAACTTGTACGGGAAACAGTCTGCCAGATCCAGAGATACATACAGATCAGAAGAGCTGTGGAAATGCCAAAGCTCTCAGAAAGAGCAGAGATTCAAAGTGGACCCACCACCCCCACCCCTCACAGCACCAGCCAGACCTAAAGAGCACGATCATCTTCGCTGAGGATGAGGATGAAACATGGTGCACTCCGTTCACCCCGCACCACGCTAAACTCTACGTGCCTTACCTCACTGTAACGCCTACAACAGCTCTATGAGCTAAGCCCAGGGCTGGGCAAACCACAGCCCACGAGCCAAATAAAGCCGCGCACCACCTATCTCTGAACAGCCTACAAGAGCTAACACCCATGCCAATCCTCCTCTTTTTGCTGAGGAAGACTGGCCCTGAGCTAACATCCGTGCCCATCTTCCTCCACTTTACATGGGACCCTGCCACAGCATGGCCTGACAAGCGATGCATCGGTGCGCGCCCGGGATCCGAACCCGCGCTGCCAGCAGCGGAGCGCACGCACTTAGCTGCTACGCCATGGGGCCGGCCCCCCTGGTTTTTACATTTTTAAGTGGTTGGAAAAAATCAAAAGAAGGATATTTTGAGATGTGAAAATTAAACAAAACTCAAATTTCAGTGTCCACAAAGTTTTATTGGAACACAACCACATTTGTTCATTTACTTGTTCTGTGGCTGCTTCTCCGTTACACTAGCACAGTAGAGAGGTCAAGACAGACACTGTGTGTGGCATCTTATCGCTTCCCACTGCTGCCCAGCGCATGACAAGTCTCAGTGACATGGTTATAACTGACAGCACTTTGAGCACCTCACAGACCACCTGTCTCATCATCTATCTGTGTGAAAAGATGTTTCCAAAGATGAAATATAGAAAATCTCTTTACAGATGAGCATTAACAGACAAACATTTGCAGTTTAGTTTGGTGATTTGGAACACTAACCATGAACCTCAATTAAGCAAAATGTTATCTTCAAAAAGAGGAATTGAATTCTTCCCATTTGTAGACCTATATTACAAAGATTTTGTATTAAATTATTATATTTTGAATTTCATTGCTTAAAAATTTGTGCTTTGTTGTCTCTGTTGTTACTTAAGTACCTACATAATACCCTCGATTTTGCCTCTTGACCAGCAAAGCCTAAAATATTTACTACCTGACTCTACAGGAAAAATGTGCTGAGCTAGACACTCATGTCCTCACTCCCAGGGTGAGGAGAGTGTGGCACAGAGAGGTTGTGTAACGTGCCCACACTTACACGGCTGGTCAGTGGTAACAGCAGGATTTAAACCCAGGCAGCTGGCTGCAGAGTCTGTGCTCCTAAAGACACATTGACTCTATGCCTTTCTTCCCAGCTGTGACCCCCAAACAAGTGACTTACGTGCCTGTAGAATCTACTGCCACAGCCCGGACCCCACCACGGTGACAGAGAATCTTCGCCAGTGGCTCCTTCACAGCTGGACTCCATAAGGACACAGTACCTGGACATCAGAGGAGAAGAGCTGAAGTTACTAACAGGGCGCTGAGGTGATTAAACCTGAGAAAATGGGGACTCAAGGCCAAGAGGTAACAAGAGCGGGAGGTAAGTACTCACGAAGTACAGTATAGAAAAAAGCAAGTCACCATGGTCGGGGAGTCAAAGCCCAGCCAGGGACGCACCATTGCTGTGTCCAAGATGGATGACGGCATTGGAAGGGTTCTGAGTTATGACGTCGAGCCGTCCAGCCCGAGCATTCAGAGCTGCCACGATCTTTCCCACTGACACGTCCAGGTAGGTCAGAAACCCTGTCTCTGACTATGAGAGAGAGAGAAAGAGAGGAAGAGAATGAGTCGTGATTGCCCTCTGTCCTCCCCCCACTGTGGTCCCAGGGGAGGGGCAGTCTTCTCCAGGGCTGCCACCAGGTCCCTGTGCTCCACAGCCACTCACAGCTGTGGCCAGGAGGAAGTGGAAGGGCAGGAACTCAAGCCGCGTGACTCGGTCACAGCGGCGGATGCAGTGGAGCTCGATGCCCTGGTTGTCGTAGATGTGAAGCCAGCGGTTCTGAGCAACAGCAAGCAGTGCCTCCGAATGCAGAAACCTGGGAGGACGGGAGGAGTGGTTCAGTGGGAAAGGGCGTCACGGGCTGTCACTCAGTCAGGGATGGGCTGTCTCACCCCACTGACCGGATGTCCCGCACGGCCTCCATGACGTTGATCTCACACATGAGCTTCTTTGTCACCCAGTCAAGTGCGGCCACATGACCCCGGCGCCCTCCAAAAGCCAGGTGTCTGTTGGAGGTGGGGTACAGGCACGGTGTCAATGCAGGGGAGCACCCTGACTCAGACCTTTTGAGGTCTGCCCCACGCCAGCTCCTCCTCTCCAGGTGAGAGAAGAGATGTTGCTACACAGGCTCTCTCTCACATGCAAGCAAATCACAGGACCCTCCCCACTCAACACCCCAGACATACGCTGGTGTGGCTGAGGTAGGCTTGGCTGACGTGATAAAGAGACACCGCTATGTCCTAGTTCCAGAGTCACTGGAATTCAACCTTACCTCCCAGTTCGAGAGTAATTCAGCCTGTAGGGTCCAAACTGTCTCAAGTTCAAGTCAAAATGCTGGGAAAGGGAAGAGCAAAAAAGAAAAAGGATCATGAAGAGCTGGCTCCCTTCAGTAATTCCCTCTTCTAGTCCCCATGTCCATCTTGCTCTGCTCCACCAATCAACTCACTGGCCCCTTTTCCATCCTCAGGCTCACCTTGGCTGCACTTGCAATGTCCACAGCCTCCACGATGTCGGCCTGGCGTATCTTTGCCGTGTCCTCCCCATCCTCCCCTTCCAGAAACCTGCAAGTGAGTGGTAAGGTTGCAGCAAAGCTTCCTAATATGAAGTGGGTGTACCAACATAAAAAGGAGAAAGGAGAGTGCCATAAAGCGGGGGCTGGGGAGGCCCACATTAGGGTCCACTTACCCAGGTTCCTCAGCAAGCAGCAGCTCAGAACGAGCAGCTTTGACACTTATCTCCTCTTCCTCAGCTTCAGCCACCTCAACTCGGCTTCGGGTTTTGGACTTAGAATGTGGCAGCTATAACATCGTTGGTGGTAGAGAAGCGCGAGAAGAACCAGCAAATATGTGGAGTCACAAGACAGCCACCTGGTCCCGCC